TTGATATAATAGGCAATATGCAAAAGGATGGAATGATGAGTGGGTCTTATATAAAGGGTCAAGGAGGTTATGTCCCTCCAACTTTTTCTTATATGTATAAAAAAGTAATATGATTGTGTATTAGTAATGATATACAAGTGATTGACACATATTTTAGGGTAGAGTTTGGAGTTTAGTATGATGTTGAGGGGCCTAAAGTGAAAATTATAAAAACTAATTGGGGAATGTGAAAGAATTCTAAAATAACTTTGGTCTCCGAGCCTATTGGGTATGTTTTCCCCAAAACCCTTTTTCACAGTTTTTAGAGGAAGCATGGTTGTTTTGGAATTAATATTAGATTATGAGAGTAGATTAATTAGTGAAATACTACTACTTAGGAAGGCTTGCATAGAAAGGTACGTAGATGGAGAGATAGTGGAGTATTCTTGGTCTTGAGTGTTGTGCATCTTCCTTTTTTCCCTCACTATACCAAATGCTCTCTTTTATCTAGTTCATACAAATATAAAGTTGGTTACATTTTTTCCTCGTCTTGATATACATTAATTAGAACATACTTAAAGTATAGTACAATGGTGTTTGATGATATAACATTTATGTAAACCGGGTAGAACATTCATTCATTTTGAAAAGTATAAATTATAATGGACGGAACACCACACATGTTAAAAGTATAACTAAAAACAAATCATCAATCTACACATTAATTTAAAAGCATTTTGTAATTATTTATCAAAATTTTGTTCAATTAAAACGTTGCACTATTTTAATATTTTGGCATTACACTTCATTTTCTTCTTAATGTTATTTTCTTACTCGTTACAAGTACTATTATTTGCATGTAAAAACAAAAACAAAATGTGGAGAGCAGTGAGTATAGATTTGGATGTTATCATGTTAGGGTTTGAGCAGACAAATTAATGGACCTTCCTCATTTGGTCATCATGTCGCCGTACGTACTCTTTACATTGTTCACACACATATGTGTGTTTTTGTGTGCAATTTCTGTTATTCATCGCCCAATGCACATATATATCCATTTTCCAAATCCCAAACCCATCTTAATTAATTCCACCGATTTGCATTAAACATATTCACTAATTAATCTCAAAGTACAACATAAAACTGTGTTGTATATATCCTTCTGATTAGAGTCACATAAACATTTAAAACATTTTTGAAAGGCACTCGAAGATACAAGCAAGAAACCAAAACTAAATTGACAAGGGCGTGCATATATGGGTGATGTAGTCACACATGTGGGTCTCAAATTTCATCGTGTATTAAACTTTTTTTACAATTTTTGTCAAACATCTTTACTCTTTAGTGACTACATAGACAAAAAGGTAACACCTTTATATCTATTTACGTTGACCCTCCACTCTTACGTAATATTACTCTTTTGCCCCGTAAGAGGGACCAGTTCCATTGCCGATCCCTCAATCCTAGCCGTCCACACACCGCACTACTCAGCTAAGACTGTATAACATCAGCACAACGCCACTTTCTGCGTCATTCATTTGTGCACCTTCTTTTAATTTGATTATCTTTTTGTTTTTGTCATCCATTAACTTGTTACTTTAAATGATCCAAATAATGATTAATGTAATATATGAGCATATACAACACAAATCGCTACCTTTTCCTATTAGTAGGAGAGGCCCGTGTGTGTGAGGGCAGTCAAATGGCTTGCTTTAAGTCATAATGTACACTATACATAAATATATCAAGTTTGAGTTTTCAAAAATGACAACAATAATGAATCAGGCTTGTAACAATAATATTATATTACATTATGATTGTGGTCTCAATCAAAAGACGAAGAAGAAGAACTGTACATATTCGTTGGATTATAACTTATTGTCTTGAATAATTCAACAATTGTGAAGTCACAACTCTCCACTAACCCATTGTTTTGCAGTTCCAGCCCATATGCAGCTACTTAGTTTAACAAATTATTAATAAACCTTAATTAAAATTAGTACATATGAATGGTACAAATAGAGTTAAAATAGTATAGATTCTGCATAATTCAACAAAGGTAAAAGTAAAAGGGGGTGAAAAAGAGTGACTTTTAAGAGGAATCCAAGACATGGAGTGCAAACCTCATTGGACAAAGTCATCAAAAGCTTAAATAAAATGTCTCATATTTTATTATTTGCTCGTTAAAATGGCCATAAAATATAGGAAAAAGCAATCATTGGATACTCGAAGGAAGAAAAGTCTGTGAATTGTGAAATAAGAAAATAATGATTTATCCTAAAATTAAGGAAAAGGCTAAACGTCTTGGGTCATTTCGTAACGGGCGCATGGGCCTTGAACCCCACAAATATCCTTTCGGATTTACACCTTTTTGACAATAAGAAAATAAGATGTAACACATACGTGCCAATGCCATTGAACAAAAGGAAAAAATATCTCTTATAGCACTTTCATAAATGTTAGTATCATATATTATGTGATTGACATGTCGCTTAATAGTTTGTATTAGTCATAATTTGGTTTGAATCTAAGAATAGTGTGTGTTGGTATTGGACTTGAATAGTTCATAAGTGATTGAAACTCAATGATGTTGAGATTTGGAAGCATAAAAGAGAAGGAAAGGAACGAGAACATGGCAGATCTGAATATATCTCGACTTACCACTAAATCACTAGTCCATTTTGTTTTGAACTCAATTCTATGTAATTTTATTGTTCTTCACTCCGAACTTAAGTCAATCAATTCCAATACACTTTATTGTTTTTAATCATTTGTTTATTCTTTGTCTAACACTCAATTTCTTGATATTCAAAAATAAATCGGTTCTTTAAATCGTGATTGTTGAATTTTTTGTACCAATAGGCAATAGTGTGCATGTTTGACCCAAAAATAAACATAAAAGGTACTGTTTCCTAGTAATCCAATTTTTAGATTTAATTTTAGAATTAAATACTGTAAACATCCAACAAAGAAGCTGGAATAGCTCAGATGGCTAGAGCGTGTGGCTGTTAACCACAAGGTCGGAGGTTCAAGCCCTCCTTCTAGCGATTCTAATTTTTTCACTATTTTGGGCCTCTAATCTTATATAACTAATGGGGGCTTTCAACAAGTACTTAAGTTAACGGCTCTCTAGCATTCGGGTGGTGTCTCGCGTGTTGTTTCTTGATATCTCCATGGAAGTCTCTTGTTGATCAACGTACACATTCTCAAGCTCTGATTGCCTCACGCTTAGATGATTCATTCCTCGCGAATTTTGGACATCGTTTCTCGACTCAGCCAGCATCTGGAAGTACGCATGAGGTCCCCAACCTGTAAGCGATCCATAGAGAGATTAGTGTTCGTTACTAACAAATCGAAATGACTTTAACCGAAGAGAAGAAGATTCACGTCACACACCGTCAGGATCATACGGAGGGGGAAAGAATTGCAGATAACAAAACAAGGTCACTGTTAATCCTGGACATTACAATGAAAAATCGGTTCTTCTTCATTAGTTTTGTTTCTCAAGTAATGTTGAGTGAGCACATGAGTTTGATAATAACAAACCTATGATAGCTCCTCCAAACACATCTTGCCAGTGATGCCAATAGTCATCAACTCTGGATACACCAACCAATGCAGCAACCAGTAGAGGTAGGAACACAATGCAGAGCTTTGCAACATGCCCTCTACGGTCAAACACCCTGATTTTCCCAGATAAGTACAACGCTAGAAATCCTAGTCCAGCAAACGACCCTGCAAGTTTACATGACTGAAGTCTTAGGATCTGCCTATGTGAACTCTTTACAAATCAATTTAGACAAGAACATAAAGCCATACAAGATGTGTGTCCGCTGGGGAAGCTCTTGTGTCCCTCCTTGATCACGTCCTTATCTCCAGTACACATAACATCCCTCGTGATGTTGTGAAAGAACTACAACGCCATTGAAAAGAACCACAACTTCAATCAGCTGGTTAGAGATTATCCAGGGCATTATAAGAGTAGTGAGAAAGGAGATGAAGCTGCTTGCTTACCCCTCTACCATCAGGGAAACAACGCCAAAAGAAGTCAGGACGAGGTCTACCTACAGCGTCTTTTATAGCATCGGTTATAACAGCGGTTATGAGTACAGAGAACAAAAGACCTGAAGACACCAAGAACAAACCTTATCAATCAAGAGCTGCAAAGAAATTCGAAACATCAAAAACACCATTACCGCAAGAAGAAAGAAAGAAAGAGGTACCTAATATTGCATGATGCAGGTCATAAACATCTTTTCTGATGAAGTAGTAAACAGAAATGACAAGAAAAGGGAGCACAATTGCTATCAACTGTCACTTATAAAGTAGCAGAGGAATTAGTATAGGTCCAAAAATGTTACTCTTTGAATGATAATAGGTTTTTGGGAAAAAAAAAAAAAGTTTATTTACCGGAACAGCCCAGAAAGGAATTGTGTTGTCTTGCAGAGGGTATCTGAGGTCAGTGAGCATATCCTCTCCAACAAAACGGTGAAATGGTTCGATGACATTGAGAACAATCTCGATGACGATAAGGAGCAGAAGAATGAGCCAGTCGTGCATGTGGAACCTAGCGACCGTGACTCCATGGGATCTTATCGTATGAGAACCCAGCTGAATTTCGGGCATTGTTATATATATATATATCTAACTACACAAGAGAAGCCGTAATGAATAAATTTCTCCACGAAAGTAGTAGAATATAGAGAATTTCTCCAACTCAATCGAGATTTCAAGTTTCAAGTCTACTTAACCAGTAACCAAAATCAAATGCAGAAATTCTCAATTCCGCCACTATAATCTGCGTCTCAAATTCCATCGGTTATAAGAGAGAAGACGATGAGTGTACCTTTGGCGTTAGAGATGAT